TGGGAGTTTACGGAATTCTGATTGGCTTGCTCCTTTTTTCGCGGCTGGAAAGTAGAAACTGGTCGAACTCCCTTTTTCGCAGAGAAAAAAGCCAGCGAAAAGTGTGGCGCCGCCTGAAATTATACTGTGCATGCCTGTACTCGAAAAAATTTGCCCAGTGGAAAACAGGCTTAAGCCTAACCATTCAGCTTCTTTAAGCACATGTGTCGGCGAACCGGTAGCCAGGCTTAAAATATAGACCTACTTTATAATTACTTATTACATGGGAATTAGGATTCAATAAGGTGTTTTGAAAATTAAAGTCATATTTTGCATCACACATCGCCTTTTATTTCCGTTATATAAAACGAAGCTTTTAAACTAAATTTGACCAAAATGTTTGAAATAATGTATGTCATAGTTTAATACGTCCAAATTTATTATTTTCTACCGCGTACTAAAATATTTCATTACAGTATATGATTATCTTCTCCCAGTTCTAAATTTAGTTTTCACATAGTTATAAAATATAATCAACTTATTCACCATATGTTTGAGATTAAAATATAAATATTTTATGGAAATACTTCGAGCATAAGTGTCAAGTCCGTTTAAAAAATGATTGAGTCAATAAATGAGTAAACCTTTTTTTAAATTAGTGATCTAGAATAGTACACCCATAACAATTATAAATAAAAGTGAAATACAAATTTAAATAAATCAGAAAACCAAAACTCTAAGAATTAATTCCTTTAATTTAGTAGCTTATTAGATATTATATATGCACTAAAACTATATATTATTATATGAGAGGGTGTCTGATCTTCAGCAGTGGGGAGAAACCGGGGGATCTGGAGAAAAATAATGAGGGTGGGCAGGCGCGACCCTAATCATTGTCACGCGCAAGCTTGGGGACGAAACTATGCCATTGGAATCAATGGCCGAATTTTTTATTCTAACCTCGCGCGTTAGACAACTCGGGCATCCCCACCCCACTTATTCTACTTAATGTCTATAGCGAACCCTTCGAAATGTGGTAAGCTAAATCTGAAAGGCAGAATGGCCACATTTTAAAACTAGAACTTTTGGGTTTGCCGTTCGATAACATTCTTTTTATTTTAAATAGCTTTCTGGCTAGTAATTAATATGTTCTTATCTTCTTTATAAACATAGGTATCTCAGGCATCTTGCTCTTCATAATTTTGAAAATGAAACCCGTAACATGAGGTTGAGTAGTAAAATTCTAAGTTCATTCCGATTAAAATAATCTACCGTCAGTTTTTTCATGCCGTGTTCTGATTACGCGTAATGTGCAACGGTTGCCAGGCAAGATACGCCCACATTTTGTAAGAGATGGATAGAGTACAAGCTAAAAACAAAAGCGATTTTTCGTACAATCAGGAGCCATAATCCAGAAAGTTATGGTCTGAAATGCGCAAATATCGAAAGGGGCTGATATCTTTGGGATATAAAGATACATTTTAAGTTTCATAAAAATTGTGACCTCCAGAGCGCCCACAATTTTCGTACTACATACTTTTATACAATTTGCGTGCACAGAGCGACCATTTAATCGGGTAGTTTTGTTTCGATTTTCCCATAATCCCAATTCAACCTTCATTATTACGGAATAGTGATATATTTTAACGGTTTTTAAAATCGGATAAAACTTGTGACCTCGAGACAATCCACAAGCTAAAAAACACGTGTTTTCGTACAATCAGGGGTCATAATCCAGGAGGTTGCAGACTGATTTGAATGTCTAAAGGAACTAATATCTTTGGGTTATAAATCGGATAACAATTGTGACTTCTAGAGAGTCCAAAAACTTGGTATTACATACTTTTACACTAGGAGCGGTCATTTTGTCCTGCAGTTTGGGTCAGAATTGTACGAAATTCGAACTCAACCTTCATTGATGTGTGACGGTGATATATTTAAACTTTTTTTTTTAAATGAATAAAATTTGTGACTTCTAGTGGTCATTTTGTCCGGCAGTTTCGGTCCGATTTTTACGAATTTCGAACTCAACTGACATTATAGTGTAATGGTGATACCTTTCAACGGTATGTTTAAATCGGAAAAAAATTGTGGCCGCAGTGGGACCACAAGCTAAAAACGCGACTTTTCCTACAATCGGCGACCATAATTCAGGAAGTTACGATATGAATTTGCGTACGAGGGGCGGCCATTTTATCCAGCAGTTTTGTTCCGATTTTCACGAAATCTGAACTCAACCTACATTATGGTGTAACGGTGGGTGATATGTTCAAATGGTATTTAAAATCGGATAAAAATTGTGACCTCTAGATGCACCATAAGTTATGATCCGATATGCGCGAATATCGACAGGAACCAAGATCTTTGGGTTATAAACATGTATTTCAAGTTTCATCAACATCGGATCAAAATTGTGACCACTAGACGGTCCACAGTCTTGATATACCACATTTTTACGTTATTTGCATACGAGGGGCGGTCATTTTGTCTGGCAGTTTTGTTCCAATCTTCACGAAATTTGAACTCAACTAACATTATGGTGTAACGGTGATATATTCGAACGGTTTCTTTAAATCGGATTATAACAGTGACCTCTAGACGTACCACAAGCTAAAATCGAGATTGTTCATACAATCAAGGGTCATAATTCAGGAAGTTACGAACCAAGATCTTTGGGTTATAAACAAGAATATCAAATTTCATCAAAATCAGATGAAAATTGCGACCTCTAGAGTGTCCACAGGCTAAAAACGTGATTTTGCGTACAATCTGGGGCCATAATCCATGAAGTTATGGTCCGATATAATGCTAATATCGAAAGGAGTCGAGATCTTTGGGCGATAGGCCTATATTTCAAGTTTCGTCAAAATGGGATAAAAATTGTGACCTGTAGAGTGTTCACAAACAAATTGTGGAAGTCCGGATGGACGTCCGGACGGATAGGGGCGACGCCACTATAACCAAGTAACCCATATTATTCCTATATGTTTACTTTATAGTGCGAGTACTTTCTTACGTACATTAATATTGTAAAATGGTTATTTGAACCTGTAAAAATGCTAATTTATACGACTCGTTTCTTAAACCTTTCCGATAGAATTTGTATTATGTTCTATTTCCATTATAGTCATATTAATTGTTTTACATTAAAACAGATCGTAGTCAATTTAGTATCGTAAACATTTTGACATTTCACAAAAGCACATAATTCTAATCCGCATGATGGTAACAGATGGCGCTGTTTAAAATTATATGGTTGCCGATACCGGCCATGTAAAATGTCACCAATATTATGGCGAAGAAACGACAAAGTATACCTCCGATACAATCTAAATCAAAAAATAATTCTGATGCAAAAGAGGTTTAGAAAATCTATTTGTTAATTTAGCCTATTTGTGTCCATCAAAATAACGAAATAGTTTACGCAAAAAGGTATATTATTCAAGTAATCTAGAAATGCCACAGGAGAAAACAAAGTTGATTTGCTATGTTAATTCCTTGAACGAGAAGTAGTATCAGCGTAAGCATACACCGTATAGCTAAATGAAGCGATTGTTTGGTCAAAGAGACATAATCCCGTGGAAAAGTGCAGCTGTGTACGAATATAAGAATCACATGTCTATTCTCTGGATTTTCTTCACGCGAAAAAGAAATGCACGTTATAATATTTATCTGTACTACCCCCGTGATGACTACAGTGTTTTTCACTTTGATTTAGGTAAAACAAAAGTTTGAAATGGGTTGAATTATTGTGGTATTACTGCGATTAGGGATCGGACAAGCTCATTACAAAATTTGCTTCGAAAGATTAAAGGGAAGTCAGGTTGTTTACTGATTTTTGTTTTATTTTTCTATTATAGATTTAAAAAAAAAAGTTTAAATATATCACCGTTACACATCAATGAAGGTTGAGTTCGAATTTCGTACAATTCTGACCCAAACTGCAGGACAAAATGACCGCTCCTAGTGTAAAAGTATGTAATATCAAGGTTGTGGACTCTCTAGAAGTCACAATTGTTATCCGATTTATAACCCAAAGATATTAGTTCCTTTAGACATTCAAATCAGTCTGCAACCTCCTGGATTATGACCCCTGATTGTACGAAAACACGTGTTTTTTAGCTTGTGGATTGTCTCGAGGTCACAAGTTTTATCCGATTTTAAAAACCGTTAAAATATATCACTATTCCGTCATAATGAAGGTTGAATTGGGATTATGGGAAAATCGAAACAAAACTACCCGATTAAATGGTCGCTCTGTGCACGCAAATTGTGTAAAAGTATGTAGTACGAAAATTGTGGGCGCTCTGGAGGTCACAATTTTTATCCGATTTTGATGAAACTTAAAATGTATCTTTATAGATTCCAAACTTTTTTTCCATTCTATCCGATTTGTGTTCATTTGTTTTGCGGAATATTAATCTGTGTTCGGTCAAAATTGTTTGTCCTTAAAACGAATGTTGAGATTAAATTGTTGTTTGTTCCTATTCTGTCACGGTAATCCAAAAATAAAACAAAAAATCAGTAAACAACCAGACTTCCCTTCAATCTTTCGAAGCAAATTTTGTATACCACAATAAATCAACTCATTTCAAACTTTTGTTTTACCTAAATCAATAGAGTCTAACGCGTTATTTAGGATATAATGTCTTCTTACGTTGGTTTCTTAACAGAATGAAAATTACAATTGGATAACTAGTTACTTCTGCTAATACTACTAAAATCATTAGTCACAGAGTAACACACCGACAGAAATATACACGCATTCTTAAAAAATTTTAATAAGTGTGTAAAGTCATCACTCTCTGTGTATGAATACCGTGTTTTATTCACATGCCCTATAAATAGAATGTATTGTTATAAGAACTGCTCATCGCAAAATCAAAAATCAACATCGAGAAAAAGAATATTTACAGTGTGACCGAGACTTCGAACAAACACACATCCTGATCTGTCAAATCATATTTTATGTTTTAATCTATCCGTAGACCGTTTAGAAAATCTTTTCACAGTCTACTTACCTGAATTAAAGTTAAGTCCCCTCATATTTATCGCATGTATATAAGTCTATTCTTCAGGTACTCCAAGCTATACGTTAAACTATTTCATAGTATATTCAGACGGTCGTTATGTATTTTCACAAATGAAAACCTCAGATAAAATCTCTACTCAACCCACAAGTGCTAAATTCCATGCTTATCACTAAACTTTCCAATAAAACTAAATGGAATCCTTTGCACGCCTCAATTTAATGACGTCACCGAAGCGCGAAAACGATCGTGTGTTTCCTGGCTAATCACAGATTGATCACGTGAGTCTTGTTCTTAGCAAATCCCGTTTGAAATTTAACTATATTACCAACATTTGTCGACAAACAGATTGGGAATACTGGAGCTTCGCGCTAAAATTGTATCGATAAAAATATGAAAATATAAGTGAGTTGACGACAGAAGAACCATATGGCATTGTTGAATCAGCAATCACTTCGCGTGGGCTATAGATCTAGCCTCTTACCTCTTTTACCTGACTCTAAATCATTAGCTGTTCTAATATCAAAGCACAGCCGGTAATTTCAAGTAACAGTCTCATACTGAATATCTAAAAGCTAAGGTAGCGGACGGCACAGTATAGTAATAGACCACACATTATAGGTTCTATTAAAGTGTTTATAAATCGCCCATCAGGTGGAATTCTAAGACGATATCGCGGGAGTTCAGACGGTGTTTAGACTTTGGGTTTAATAATATCTGATATAAAACACACTGCAATTATTATTGATACACTACCTGTATTTCTGTAGCTAACTTATATAAAACTCATAATATCCGCAATCTAAAGCGGCGCATTATGGTTTAGGTTGCACTTAACGTTTTAGCTGTATAGATTATGTATCAATGTAGATAGAAAGGAATAGAGGTATAAAATCCCAAAAAGCCAAGTATGTACATTTCAGACTCCCAAGGGCGTGAATGTGATTTAGCTTCTCGTCCACATAATACGTCTGGCATTCTGAGACTAACACGTTTGATTTTATTTAGTATGTAGTTTTGCCGCCAATTTCGCTTCCATATGGCAGGGTCTTATTACTGGCTCGCCAATGTGCACCTTGGTTTTTCATGCCATTTGGACTACTAGGCAATACAATGTCAAGGTAAGACTAGACATATCATTTCTGAATTAGCCGAATTACACTTAGATGAAAACTATACTGGACAATATCAAATAGAACTGTTTGCAGGATAAATTCAATATATATTGCAGTGCATAAAACTGAATGGTTTCTAAAAGCCTTCATTCTAGTTGCAAGTGATTAAAGCTCTATGAAACCAATTTCCAGTTTTTAACTGGGGTTGGTGGCGAACTTATTTAGTAGGAACCATCTTGTGCAGGGATAAACCTGCCTCTAATCGACCACATTCCGGTATACTCGTGTGTTGATGTGGATGTGGGGTCGTTTCACGGCTATTGTTGCATTTAACAAATGCCGTTTGACGAAATTTAAGAACGCCGTTTGCTTTACAGGAGTTACTTAAACGTGGCCATCATTCCCAACAGTTCAATATTTTGAACTGAAACATTTAAACAGGTACATAGTTAAATTTTATGTCTGTTTTGAAATTTTGTTTTTCAGGGACCCTGTACACTTTCAGTCGAAAGGCATTGTAAGTCGTACAAACCTGATATCATATCCGACACCAAATCCGTCAGTTATTATTTACGCCTTTTTCTTTTTACTGACATTCAGTGAAAATGTACGCTTTAATTACTGAAAGGGTTGGGAAATTATGTGATTATGATAATTGCACATAATAAACAATGATGAGTTAATTACGAAATTATTAAATAATGCAGTTTAAGAAATTAAACAATGGTGGCTATTGCCGCTCCTTTATTTTAGGACTTTCATTATTATCTCAGCAGTATCGCGTTTCATCAAAGTGACAAGTTTTTGGATGAGGCTTATAAGGACGAATTAATGTTTAAACAAGCGGTTGCCATGCAAGATACGCCCACATTTTGCAATAGATGGACAGAGAACGAGCTAAAAAAAATAATGTGATTTTTTGTACAATCAGGGGCCATAATCCAGGAGGATGGTCCGATAGGCGCGAATATCGAAAGGAGCCGAGATCTTTGGGTTATGAACATACACTTCAAGTTTCATCAAAATCGGATAAAAATTGTGACCTCTAGAGGGCCCACAACCATCGTATTACATACTTTTACACAATTTGCGTACAAAGAGCGGCCATTTTGTTGGGCAGTTTCTTTTCAATTTTTTCCGAAATTCAAATTCAACCTTCAATATGGTTGAATGGTGATATATTTAAACGGTTTTTAAAATCAGAAAAAAAATTGTGACCTCTAGAGAATCCGCAAGCTAAAAATGCGATTTTTCGAAGGATCAGGGACCATAATCCAAAAAGTTACGCGCGGATATGCGCGATTATCAAAAGGATATATTCACACGTTTTTTTGGTTGTTTTTTTAATCGCATAAAAATTGTGACCTCTAAATTTTGTACAATCGAGGGCCATAATTCAGGAAGTTACGATCCGATATGCGCAAATATCGCAAGGAATCAAGATCTGTGGGTTCTAAACACGTATTTCAAGTTTCATCAAAATTGGATCAAAATTGTGACCTCTAGAAGGTTCACAACCTTGATATACCATATTTTTTACAATGTTTGCGTACAAGGGGCAGCCATTTTGTCCGGCAGTTTTGGTCCGAATTTTAAGAAATTCGAACTCAACCAATATTACGTCGTAACGGTGGTATAGTCGAACGTTTTTTTTTTAAATCGGATAATAATTGTGACCTCTAGAGGGACAACAAGATAAAAACGCGATTTTTTCGTACAACCAGGGGCCATATGCGCGAATATCGAAAGGAACCAAGATCTTTGGGTTATAAACATGCATTTCAAGTTCTATCTAAATCAGATGAAAATTGTGACCTCTGGAGTGTTCTCAATCTAAAAACGTGATTTTTCGTACAATCAGGGGCCATAATCCATGAAGTTTCGATCCGATACATGCCAATATCGAAAGGAGCCGAGATTATTTGGAGATAACCCCATATTTCAAGTTTCGTCCAAATCTGATAAGAATTGTGACCTGTAGAGTACGGACGGACAGGGGCGACGACAATCTACGTCCACATGAAATGTGAGCGTATAAAAATCAGAGCCGAATCCAAGCATAATCGGTCTTCTATCAAAACCAATCAGATTTTGGGTCGAACTGTGCGACACACGACTTGCCGTTGTTCACTGAACTGTACTTTGCTGCAACGCGGAGGAAAATTTGAATCTAGATTCTCTCCAGTTTCAGAAATCATTCTGTTGGATTCCTTTTCAAATATAAATCTAGATGCACGAATATGGTGGTCACCCACAAGTCAATAGCAGAGAACGGAAATCTTCCCTCAAATTAAACATGGTTTCTTAGTACCTTTTGTTCGTGACTCGAATATGAATATAGATTTGAATTCTAGGCAATCAAACATGTTACTGTTCGTCGATCCCAGGGCAAGCATTTTTGTGCCAGTTTCTGCTTGTAGGTAAACCAAAACATGCAAAATACATTAATTAACACCATTCTTTCTAATGTTTAAGTAATGGTCACCTCTTAATATAAAAGGTCCATGTTTTATTAGACAGTACTTGAAGACATCGTTATACTTGCGGTCGTGTTGTACATGGGATGGACTTAATATATTTACATCAACATTAGACTAAGTGCGGTGTTTACAGACATTTATCATATACAGATGTTTAGGTTATCGACTCCTGTTTATTTGGTCTCACCGAAGGAACTCCGTGTTACCTCTCGATTTAAAGTTAATACAATTCCTAACTATATTAATCCAACTATTGTACAGAATTTTGAAGAAAGATTTATTTTTTAAAAAAAACTGGGTTCTTTAACCGAAAATGACACCATTTTGAAATTCAGTGTTCTTTTTAATCATAATGATATACCGAATTTGGTGACCAAACTATATTCTAAGATATATATGTAGCTATAGATATTTAGCCAATTTTAATGAAACGATTTATTTCTATTTGGGGTTTCACTTGGTACAATATCATTTCATTTACAATACCATAATGTATGGTTTGTATGTGTACATTCATTTAGAAAGTAGAAAGTCCCGTGAATTCTTTGAAGGAAACGCCACCATTATTCTACAGATGTTCGCATGACACTGCCCACCTTTTATATACATAAATATGGTCTGTGTTTTAAGGTGTGAAAAAACAATCTCAATGTCCTACTAGCCACACACTCAAAGTGGGTATGCTATTGTGTCATCGTTGCGGAGTAAACATAATCTGGCTCATCGCTGATACAAATCAGGCCAATCTATAATATCTAAGTAAACCGCCCAAAACTACAGGAAGAACTTGTAACCAAAGTATTCTTGATAGGTAACATTGTCGAACATCATTAAATTGTTTACAGTAAAAATAGACGACGATGTGTTAGACTATTAAACTAATCTGTTTGCACCAATGAACACTGTATTAAACACTTTCACCATTGAACGTATACTATGAGTCATAGATTCATTTACCTACTCAATTAGTGGGCTTATATTTTAAATGCGGCTAATTGCATATGGTAAATATTATATTTAAATTTAGAGCACGAATGTCATTTTTTTCTTATTTTAAGAAAATTACATAATCCTTGTCACTTGTTTTTCTCTTTAAAAAAGAAGAGCCAATCCCTTAATACATGTAATTTCATTTTAGAAACTTCCTGAAAGTTCGTCGTTTTATCTCTAGTGCAAAAACAAAACCAGAACACTCCTACAAAATGGCGTTTAGTATCAGGATATCGGAAGTCTTCATGGCGAAAATTTGATATTTTTACTTAAACCACAACAGTCCCAAGCAAAACACATAGAATCCATTCAGTGCTGGCTCACTTTAGTAATCGATTATAGACGGAGTTTCTATGATGCCCTACAATTCTTATTGTTTGTTTACAATGGCCGAATCGGAGCATAAACATACAGTGTTTTTAAGATGTGTTTTTATTTTTTAAAAATTGAATCAACAACTAAACAGTATAAACGCACACCTAAGTTATGCGCTTAAATATTTGAATATTAAGTCATCGCTGCCACAGTGGGGCTAAATTAAAACTCTCGTTTCGTTATCTTTGAACAAATATGGCAAACATGCTTTCTCAGTGTAATCATCTGAATACCGCATTATAGAGCGGTGCAGTTTCAAAATACACGATTGAGCTTTCTAAATCAACAGTAACCAGACAGAACAGCTAAAGATAAATTATTTATTAATTGTTCACATGTTGTTACTGACGTTAACATATGAATAAAACATACGAGAA